ATTTGCATATTTTCAAAAATCCGTTCTCAGCTCGGACCTTAACCGCAATCGTATATGTAAATGAATACGGTTTTTTTGGAAACGAACGCTCGGGCAATACTTTTACTTAGTTTTGATGCAAAAACGCATGATCGCACCGGCTCGCCTGGTGCGTTCCAGCCTTTGTTTGGTAATGTAATCGAACACTGTAAATCCAAAACCGGCTGCCAACTGACCGCAAGCTTGAATTTTCAAGAGCAGTTCTCTCTAGATCATTCATATGTCAAAAACCTGAGCTTGAACCAAACTGTAATGTTATGCGGTGAATACTGGTTTCTGAGCGCATTATGGTTGACAAAGTTTATTCAATTTTTTGAGGTAAATCAATTCACCAAAATGCGAAATATTGGCAGTGAGCGCTCCTTTGATGGACTGAACTGTTTTTGTGGTTGGATTCAAATTTTATCATCATCCATATCTTCCTCAACGTCTCCAGTCGGCACAAGCTTCTCTTTCCGCTGCTGCTCATATTCACTCGGTTTAAGTTGCAAAAATGACAACTCAAGATGGCTGTCGACCTGCAAAGCGCAGCTCACTTTAGTTGCATGCGCGCTTGTACACATCCAGGAGCTATCGTGGGCTCTGAACTTACAATGACAACGGCTGCAAAATTGCACAGATCTTCGTGGTATCGTGCTGCCGAGAATACCGTGATGAGTTTACGATTCGCAAAAAATGCGTATCCGAATTCGACCACCTGTAAAAATTTAAAGTTTTATTTGCCGATTCGCCGATTTGAGGGCAGGAATCCGACAGAATTCGATCTTGCAGTTCATCTTTTCTTTCACCAGTTTTGTATTAGGAACTCCAATTTATTCCGAGAAACATGTAGTAATAAGCCAGTTAATTTTGTTGGTGTTTTCAAACAGTGGTAGATTCGGCAAAATACTCAGTTCAAGTGCAACCACGCTTTTCCTGGGGAAAATATAGTCGTTTAGGAGGCAAGTACAGCTCCACTGCAAAACGAATGACAGCTGACATGTAAACCTGGTCTGACCTGATGTGCTCGAATAACCATGTCAATGCCAAGTTGCTTGATCTTGTCTCGTACAGCAGTCTCCCCAAAAACCCAAGAAACACCACGGATTTGGTTCTTTTGAAAACCTTGCGCTCCTGCTTCCGGATCAGCCCATAATAAATCCTGCGCCAAGCCTTTTAC